GAATATAGAGTTCAATTAGCAAGACTTATCAAATCCATTTATTATTTATTTATTTATTTATTTGGACACATGAATATTGGTACAGGAGAGCGCCAATACATATGCGCCACACAAAACAATAAAAATTCGAGAGGAATACAAAGAAAGAAAAAAAAGCTAAGGAGCGCAACAAAAAAAGAGAGAACAATAACGAAGAGACTGGTGTAAGGTAATGTGCTAGTAATCAGGGAACGCAAAGGTACAATCGGAAGAAATCTTTCAGGTAAGGGAGACAGAACCACTTTTTATGAAGAAAGTAAAAGAAGGTTACAGCAGGATCGCCACTGGCTTCTATTCTGAGCCATATCTGATAACGTCTCTAGCCACTGTGTAGCACCATCTCTCGGACCTCAACCAGGGAGTCGTGAAGGACCAACACAAGCCAGTCCTTTGCAGCTTTCTTTCATGCCACGACACCATGTCATGCACTGACCACCTCTCCGCTTCTTCCAACCAGTCCCAGAGTCGGCAAATAATGCACGACGTGGAATTCTCTGGGACGACATTCGGAGAACATGTCCAAGCCACCGAAGTCGGTGTTTCAAGATGGTGACACCAATTGAATTATCATCTCTGTGCCCGAACACACGATGCCGAACCTCTACATTACTGACATGGTGTTGCCACTGAATGTCAGCAATCCTTTGGAGACAACGATGATCGAACACAGAGAGTCGTCTAACATCCTCAACTCGGAGAGGCCAGGTTTCACAAGCATAGAGCAAAACTGCTCTCACCGACGCGTTGTAGATCCGACCTTTTACGGCCAGACTAACATCACGAAGGGGCCATAGATGGCCCAGATTGGCATAAGCCGCTCTGGGTTTCACTATTCGTGCATTGATCTCATCACTCACGCCACCACCAGCACTTATACAGCTACCCAGATACACGAACTTCTCGACTACTTCTATCTGCTCACCATCCAGGGTGAGTACAGGATTGGAATCCTGCCAGTCTTGTAGGAGTACTTTGCACTTCGAAGGTGCAAAGCACATACCATACCTACGGACACTGATTGCCAACTGATTAAGTGCGGATTGCATGCCTTGGGCATTATCGCACAGTAAGACAATATCGTCCGCATACTCAAGGTCGAGAAGTCTTTCTCCAGGCAACAGATCCACACCACCATTACTTACATTCATCAGAGCTGTTTCTAGAATGCCATCGATGGCAAAGTTGAAGAGGAATGGTGAGATTGGGCAACCCTGCCTAACCCCACTGCTCGAATGGAACAATGGAGAGAGGTGGTTGTATGCCCTCACTCTGCCTGAGGTGTTTGTGTATAGGGCTTTCAGGATGTTAATAAACTTCTCAGGCACACCCTTCTTCAATAGACAATCCCAGAGAACAGTCCTATCCAACGAATCGAAGGCAGCCCTGATGTCAAGAAACACTACGATTGTTGGCCTTTAAAAAGTATGGCGGTGTTCTAACAGTTGGCGGAGAGTGAAGATATGATCAATACATCCTCGACCAAAACGAAACCCAGCCTGCTCCTCGCGAGTCAATCTTTCTCGGGTTTTGAACAACCTACGAAGTATGACGGAAGCCAATAGCTTGGACGCAATCGGAAGTAGACTTATCCCCCGATAGTTGTTGCAGGAACGACGTGAACCCTTTTTAAAGATAGGGACAACTATCGACTCATTCCATGACGTTGGTACACTCTCTAGTTCCCAAACCTTTGTAAACAACGTCGTCAATTCCTTAGTCAGAAAGTCACCACCATCTTTAAAAAGAGCCGGAGGTAAGTCATCTGGGCCAGGTGATTTGTAACGCTTCAAGAGTTGGAGTTCCTTGCGGACTTCCTCCTCGTTTGGTGGATCAGTCGTCACCGGCCATGGAGGGCAGGACAGTCTGACTGATGTTGCCGGAGGAGCAGGCCAGTTGAACTGCCCTTCGAAAAATTCTGCCCACCGTCCAAGACGTCGATGGGTGTTAGTGATTGGCATCCCATCATCCTCGCAGATTGTTTCACTCACACCAGACTTCTTGCTGCCAGTGGCTCGGATGAGCTGGAAGAGCTTCCAGTAATTACCAGATGCAGCTGCTGCTTCCAGCTCATTAGCACGCTTCGACCACCAGGCTTCTCGGTCCTTACGCAAGCTTTGCCCAATTTCCTTACATAACATCCTTCGTTTATGGTCAAACTCACGGTCACCCGGAGTAGACCGACGGGCTTCAATGAGTTGTAAGGAACCAGAAGAAACCCAGTGCTTAAAAGCGGGACGTTTCGCAAACCCACAACTGACTGTTCCCGCCATTTTCATGGCGTCATGCAATTGCAACCAATGCTCATCTATACTTTTCGGTGGAGTGGTAGCTAGCCTAGAGGCTAGCTCGGTTCGATACTTATTTGCAACAGAAGTTGCAACCAGCTTGCTAACATCAAACCGTTGGTGGCGGTCACCTCGTTGGCCACTGAAAAGTAAGGCAAGATTGGCGCAGACCAAGGCATGGTCAGAGTCCAGATAGGTACTCCAAAAGGAGCGGCAGTCTTGTACACAACCACGCCATCGGTAGCTGATCGCGATGTGATCAATCTGAGTCCAGGCTTGGGATGCAGAGGGAGGACGCCAGGTGGCACATCGGCGATGACTGTGCCGAAAGTTAGTGCTAGCCAGAAACAGGTTGTGGTCTGTGCATAGTTGCAGTAGACGGTCCGGCGATAGCTCAGTTGGTAGAGCGGAGGACTGTAGATTGGTGCAGTGATCCTTAGGTCGGTGGTTCGAATCCGCCTCGCCGGAGATGATGGGCTCTGCCCCCCGAATGCCCTGGTACGGCCGAGAGTGGGGTGAGTCCGCTCTCCCTCTCGAAATACTCTCACACGGGCGCGCGTATATAGCCTCTGCCAGGGAAGTCCTACTCATTGCCTTCTCGTGGCGGGGGTGTTGTTTACAAAAATGAGAGGACGAAAAGCGAATGTCCGGCGCTTTAACCGGATCACAAACCAATGGTGCACATGGACTCGAGTATCCTGCGGGAACAAATGGCGTATGAAACAATCTTTGGTCACCGGCTACCATGGGATTGCATCTCCTTACGATGCTCCACTGCCTTGTGGATCAGACCTTCAGGTTGTAGGCTCGGGGTGTGGCCACCTAAGATAACCACCTGCTTCGGTTTGGGCACCCGGGCAGTATCACAGCCCACACACAAACGATGAACTCTATGTCTTTGGCAACTACTTTTATCGCTCCGAAAATCCATTTATAGTTACCTATTTAGTACTTTTAGGTTTTCAATGATAGTCTAAATTACACCAACCCATGTATTCAATTATGAAAATGAATTTCGTTGTTGATGTTACTGTTGTTGTTGTTGTTGATGATGATGATGATGATTTACATTATTTCACAGATTGAAATCATCAGTCAATTGAAGCTAGACGACCATGGAAAACCTGGAAGCACTGGATGACCGTCTCGTTCTAGTATGGGACCCCTCAGCAGTGCGCATCCACGATCCCGCACTCCGCGAGATTCGAACCCAGGACCCAACCAACTAGACCACTGAGACGGCATCCAATGGTGTTAATGTCTAACTTCAACCAATCCACGAAGTTGCGCCACCGTACACCATTGTCTTCAGTGAGCTGATATCTCACAACAGACCTGGTTGAACTCCACTGGCAACAGCTTCTCACCAGAACTCCAGGAGTATCTCTTGAAGTCAGTCACTAGTGAGCAGATGATTATTATCAGAAGGGGTTTGTGGAGATTTTAGAAATTTCACAGATCGTAATCATGAGTCAGTTGAAGCTAGACCACTATGGAAAACTTGGAAACACTGGAATCCTCATTACATTATTCATTCAATTTATTTCATATAAATCACATTTCCATCAATTTTTTTTCTCTTTATCAGTTATTTATTTATTAATTTAATTTATAATATGGATAATTTCAACAATAGAAAAAAAAACAATCAACCAGTTAACCTTGAAATTCTATTGGTCAAATATAATTATTAATTTTGTGTTGTTGTATATATAGGGTGTGTGTATGTGAATAATACTAATAATAAATAATCTATTGACCAATGAAATTGAAGTAAGTGAATTAAATCAATCGTCATTTTATTGAGTAATTTAATCAGATTCATATTTTATATGGTTGTGTTAATATCATGTTAGATGACATTCAAAATCTTTTATGTATATCCTATTTTAGGGAGACATATATATATATATACATACATACAAACATTTATTTATGTGTGTGTATCCTACATATATATAGGTGTGTAAGTGTGTAGTTCTATGTTTAAATTTTCTAATTTTATTTCAGGAGGGAAAAAATATGTTTGAGCACTTACTCACTCACTCACAGACATGTAAGATATAATAATAATAATAATAATAATAATAATAATAATAATAATATTATTATTATTATTATTATTAATAACACATCATCACATACACACAAATTATATTTGTATAATGTATAATATATATATATATATATATAACTGAGGATAATTTTGATTGGTTAATTAATAAACTAATTATAAATGACTATTTATCAAAATGTTTTCTAGAAAAAAAGAATTCAACTTTCCACAACAAGAAGAGAATTCATCCCAATAAATAGTTTTCTTTTTTCTACATTTTATTATCATTATCATCAGTGTTGTTGTTGTTGTCGTCGTAATAGTAATAATCGTTGTTACTTTTCCCGTATTAAATCGTTTGGAAAAAGAAATAAATAAACAAGAATAAATGTTCAATATACATTCATAATCATTTTCTTATTGTTTAAAACAATTGATCAAAATTATATTTATTTATAGTTTTATTTTTTTTTTAAAAAAAGAGAAAAAAAAGAAAGAAAAGAAAAATGATGTATCAAATAATAATGAAAAGAAGAAAAAAAGAAAATAATGTATGAATCAAATTATTATCTAATGAACAATATTTATTTATCACGACTATGTCATTTTATAATTGATTAATGGCCATTGGATTTTGGCAAACTATTTATTTAATTATTAAAACTATTTATTATATGCATTTATTCATAACAAAATATTTATTTATATCAAAAACAATTATTGGTGAACAATTAATTGATCAATTAAATGAATTAAATAATAATAATAATAATAATCAACAAAATAATCCATATCCATCATTATCACAATTTGAATCATATCGAATTAATAATAATCGATTTAATTCGAATGTAGATCAATCATATAATTTTTATACAACTAATCCATATCAATCATATATGCCAATTAGTAGAATTATTAATCTATCTTATCCTTCTTCTAATATACATGAAAATAAATGGAATACTTATTTAAATCGTGTAAATAATCAATATATCAATCATAGTTCTATTAATCATATAAGTAATAGTAATATTCATAGTATTAATCAATCACATTATACCTCTATACCAAATATTTTTCCTAATTTAGTATCTAAATTATCATCTCCTTTCTCATCTATATCATCATTATCAGAATCTAAAACATCATTAGGTATAGGATATACTCCTGAAATATCACATCCTTTTTTAGCCGGTGAATCACAAACAGAACAAATTTTAAAATATATATTAACTAATTATAAATCACATGAAAGACCAAATGAAAATTCTCAAGATCCAACTATTGTTAGTGTATTCATTCATATTATAGATATATCATCAAGTAATGTAGTACAAATGGAGTATACAATTAATTGTTATCTACGTCAACAATGGTATGATCCACGTTTATCATGGGATACTAATATTCAATTAAGTAATAATATTAAAGAATTATTATTAAATCAACAAAAAAATCAATTATGGCTTCCTGATTTATTTTTTCGTAATGGTAAATCAGGTTTTTTACATGATATGTCACAACCAAATTATTTATTACGTGTTAAATCTAATGGACAAGTATTATATAGTCAAAAAATTACAATGACATTATCATGTCAAATGTATCTACGGAAATTTCCAATGGATAAACAAGAGTGTACAGTTAATATTGGTTCATATGGATATACAATTGATCAATTAAAATTTATATGGCATCATGATAAACCGGTAACTATATCGAATAATTTACAATTATTAGAATTTGAAAGTCCACATGGTGCATATACTTTGGTAAGTAAAGAAAGAATTTCTTTCTTCTTTTATTCCCATAGCAATATATAAATAATATTCATGCTACTACAGCTATTGTTATTACTTGGCTATTTCATAAAATATTTTTTTGATCATAAAAATACTTATCATGTGTCTCTTTATGTAGTGGTTTGTTTTTGACTATATATATTTGTTTATTTTAATTGAGATTATGAATCGATCAATGTTAGACTACTGTTTAAAATCTGGACTCATTTGACGACCATTTCATCCTAGTATAGAACTCTCCAACAATGTGTATCCACGTCCCTCTACGCAGGATTCACACCCAACACCTTTGGTCTCACGCACAAACGCCTAACCTCTAGACCATTAAACTGGCATCTGACTATATTAATGTTTAACTTCAACCACCCCACGATATTGCCCGTTCATCTTGTGTTTATTATCAACTAAAACATTTGTATCTTAATCACTTTTTCCCTAAGTACCTTATCAGAGGTTACTATAAAAATGAATTTTCTTTTGTATAAACAATATCTATTTTTTTAGTCAAATACCTCTGTAAAAGTATAAAACTAACAATGTGCATTTATTCAAATCTGTTGATTCATATTACTGTAATCTTAAAATGAATAATAAACCTGAACTAATCTAATTTTTATAGGTTTTCATTTCTTTTTTCCATTTGAGATAATTTTTTTAATTGGGATGATGAACTGAATAATGTTAGACTATCATTAAAAACCTGGAAGCGCTGGAATCCCACGAACGGGATCATGGATGTACACTGTTGAGGAATCTCACAATAGGACAAAACGGCGGTCCAGTGCTTCCAGGTTTCCAATAGTGGTCTAACATCGATCAATTCATGATCTCAAACAAAAACTTAATAATCTTCACAACCCTATACTAATAACTTTTTTTTCAACTCAATATACAAGTTAACAATCTGTAATTAATCAAATAATCAAGGTATATCATAAATCATTATTGATTCATGTATACACAACAATAACATTATTTCTCAAAAAAATATTCTAAAATAAATCACATATGATTTATCACAGTATTTTCAATTACAGATTTAATGGCTCATGAAAATCTTTAATGGTCACATTTATGGACATTTTAAAGCAGAACTTTAAATTACTGCCATTATTGCCACTTTTTATTATTATTATTATCATGTGTACTACTCCTTACAGTATAAGTTAAGCTTTGGAAAAATCGATAATCATTCATATTTCCTTCACAATTAAGATACCTAAATTGATTGTAACAATTTTAGGTAAATAAGTAGACAGATGACAATATCCAATATAAATGATAAATTCTATCGAGTTAACTAATTAAAATTGATTTAAATTGTTGTTTTTTTTGTAAAATAAATTTTATTTCCTTCTGAGATTTCCTTTTTGTCAAGACAAAAAAAACGAAGGAATTAAGTAGTATTTGTTGTGTCTGAAACTTAAATGGAACGAAAGAGAACTAAATGAGAATTTTTGTAAAATTGTACCCTTAAAGAGAATTTACAGACAATAGTCTATATATATATATATACTATGTATAACAATATTCTGACGTAATAAAAAAGAAAATGAGATACCAACTTTTAACAATAAATATTTTCTGTTATTTTGATGTAATTTTTCTTCGCTTTAGATACAATTTACGTGTTGTATTGAAAATTATTTTATTTTTTTTTGTTGAAAATTATTTATCCATTTTTATTCTTGTGTAGGAAATAGTTCTGTTGTATAAATGATATAACATTGAAAAGTTAAAGCTAGTTACAGTTGAATTATTTTTTTCTTTTTTGGTGTGTGTATGTGTGTGTGTGTGTGTGTGAAATGTTGTTTAAGACTTAGAAATCAGATAGAATTGCTTTGGAAGTGTTTAAGTTAAATTATTTGATCACAAAATGTTCACTGTCATTCTGGTATAAAATAAAGATCACAGTGTTTACTTTCAATTGAAAATATTCTGTAAGAGTTAAACTATCTACTTTTTTATGATGATGACGACGACCTTGTTCTAGTCACTGCTTCAATATAATGATATTTTGAAATGTATGAAACAAAACTAGGAGATTCTCTAAGGTTTAATGGAACCTTTTATCAACATACACTAAAGTAAGTCAAATTATACATCAATAATGATTTCTCATTTTAGTGGACTGAGTAAAATAGTCATTTTTCAATTGATTAGTCATAAATTAAAATATTTTTCAATCTACTTCACAATTTGATCAGTAGGATCATATACCTGACTAATCATTATATGCAATAAAAAGTTCAATATGAATTTACACTTGTCAAATAAGTTATATAAACTAAAGAGATTTCTTGTCTTTCAATTTATTTCAACTATATTTAGGGTTTCTAACTCTTAAGAAGATTCTTTTAGTTGTGCTTTAAACATTTCAGCATCTTACTGAAGTCCATAGATCTGTTTTTCTCTTTTAGACTGAAAATGATCGAGAATTGTATCAAGTTTTAAAATCTCTGGTAAATTTGTAAATTGACCTGCTTACAATTAGTCCTTCGGTAGATGGGATGACTCAAATTAATGAATAATGTAAAGTGTTTAAGGATAGTTTGCAACAAAATCCGTTTAATATAGGTCTCGTGCTAGTTGGTACTCGTCAGCAAAAAGCATCTGGAATATTGAGGGAATTTATACTATATGGCAGATTTGAACTTGTGTTACTCAGTTTCACAAAGCGACATGAAATCCTTACATTTAACCTTTTTTAGCTTTATTTCTACAAACTATTACTCTGGAGCACTACTTACCCACTTCGGTTTGCGTATCCAAATAGCATCGCTGGTTCTTAGATAAAGAATGTAGTTTAGTACTAAATACATTAATTGTTACTTGGCAATTAAGTTACATCTAGAAAGTGAATACAATAACTTTACAGTGACCGGTAACTGAATAGTAACCGATTTCATAAGTGTCTAGTTCATAGTACTAATCTTATTTAATTGTTTAAGGATTAGATAACTTTATGACAAACGTTAATGATTACTGAACAACCAGTGTAAATACGTCATTCTTAAAAGAGGTCAGTCATATCTTCAATAGCTCAATGTTAATATATCCCCTAGGCACAAAATAAATTTCACGATGAGCATCAATTCCCTTAATTTAAAGATTCATCTCGATCTTGATTACTAATTGGAACAAACCTTAAGTTCAGCTCATTCAGTTTATTACCTTCAATCTTCTCAAATCAAGATAACAATTTCACATTTATATGATTGTGTGATGAAAATCTTAACCAACTTGAAAATAATTTGCAATATGAACTAACATATTCATTAACAAACTATTAGTTGAAAACTAAAATGTACTAATTGTACATCATTGAAAAATCTTCATATAAAGTAAACAAATTGTTTTATCACAATTAATATTCACATGTAAAGAGAATTATATTTTCAAATAACCGTAATAGTAATAATATTAGAAGGGGTTTGTGGAGATTTTAGAAATTTCACAGATTAAAATCAGTGGTCTAGTTGGTTAGGCGCTTGGTGTGAGACTGATAGGTCCTGGGTTCGAATTTTGCGAGGCGAGATCGTGGATGCGCACTGCTGAGGAGTCCCATACTAGGACGAAACGGCCTTCCAGTGCTTCCAGGTTTTCCATGGTGATCTAGCTTCAATTGACTCATGATTTCAATCTGTGAAATAATAATTATAGACAACTATATTAGTGTAACTCACTTGGTGATAATAATCTTAATCTATCTGGGAATATTTCCACAATTTCTTTTTTTTGTTGTTGTTGTTGTTGAATATTTCAAATCTAAATTTGTGTATTGTTATTTGTTTTATTAAATATTCATAAAGATTAGTAATTTATTATCTCATAAAAATAATTAACTAATGTCATTTATTATTAACTCATATAATAACTCTACATAATAAGCAGAAGAGAACGTTAGTCAATCTCTTTTGTTTTCTTTTTATTCATTTTATTTAAGTGGTTAAGTAATTTAGAAAATTTTCCCAAAAGTTTCTATTTAAGTTAAGATTATAATATTATTAATACAAGTGTTTGTTATATATTAGGTTATTGAAAGTAGTCAATAGGAAATGCTTATTGTCTTAGGTTTCATGTATGTAGGCAATGGTCAACAAGATATACCTGAAATTTTGTAGAAAGTCATATTCTTTAGTAGATAAGAACCTGTGTTACTTAGATTCATAGTTTGAGACATTATCATTGAACTATTCAGTCATGTTGATCAGGAATAAGGAACTTTATAAAAACGATATTGTTCACTATTCAGTGAACAATTAATTGAAATCTACTCTAGTTTAAAAGTTGATAAATGCTCGACGTAGTTTTAAGCCTCTTTGATATAAGTGAAATTATACTGATTATTTGATTGGTTTATAATCGACTGATAAATGTACATACATTTTACTGGAGAATAAGTTAATTTCCCAAAATTAGTTTGGTTTTTTTTCCGTCCAGTTAGCTTCATAAAATAAATGTTTAGTCTTTAATCTGTCATACTCTATACAATAGTGACTGTAAAGAATTATATTTGATTGTTTGTGATGTTTAAGACTCCAATGTCTGTTACCATATTAGATACCCAGAACTCTGATCACAATATTGTCTAGGTATTTACAAACTGGATGTATATATGTGGCATAGCGATTAACAGTGAAATTCAGGATGTGTATTCTGTTGTTTTTGTTTTATAATCAGAGAAGAGTTGTTTGAGATTTCTTCAATAGAATTCATTGATATTCTGGTTGATGTAGTATGTTTCACTAATTATACTCTAATTTATAAAGTATTCAATATTGGTTTCTAATTTCAGTCAAAAAATGAACAATTACATCATGTTATAGTCAAATAATAACTTTCAAGGAATTCCTTATTATTCAACTAAATTAATCATAATACATAAGACACTGTGATGTTTATAGGGACATTTTTGTTACTTGTTAAAAAGAATAAATAAATAAATTCAACATGTTTGTCAAGATAAC